TTTTTTTTTTTTTTTTCCCTGCAGATTTGCCCAGTGCAATATGACATTTGATTTCTTGACTGCTGCATTCATGGGTGTTGATTGCAGATCCAAGTAAAATGAAATCCCTGACAATCTCAATCATTTCTCCATTCATTGTAATGTTACTTATTGGTGCATTTGTGAGGATTTTTGTTTATGTGGAGGTGTAATCCATACTGAAGACTGCAGTCTTTCATCCTTATCAGTAAGTGCTTCATTCATCTTCACTTTCAGCAAGTAAGGTTGTGTCATCCGCATATCACAGGTTGTTAATGAGTCTTCCTCCAACACTGATGCCACATTCTTCACATAGTCCAGCTTCTCAAATTATTTGCTCAGCAGACAGATTGAATAAGTATTGTAAAAGGATACAACCCTGACTCACACCCTCCCTGATTTTAAACTGTGAAGTATATTATTTTTCTGTTAGAACAATAGCTTCTTGGTCTATGTACAGGTTCCTCATGAGGACAATTAAGTGTTCTGGAATTTTCATTCTTTGCAAAGTTATCCATAATTTGTTATGATCTACACATGCCTTTGCATAGTCAATAAAACACAAGTAAACATCTTTCTGGTATTCTTTGCTTTCAGCCAAGATCCATCTGAAATCATGAATGATATATACCTCATTCCCTGTATTCTTCTGAATCCAACTTGTATTTCTGGAATTTCTCTGGCAATGTACTGCTACAACAATTTTTTAATTATCTTCAGCAAAATTTTACTTGCATGTGATATTAATGACATTGTTTAATAATTTCCACATTCTGTTAGATCACCTTTCTTTTGAATGGGCACAAATATTGATCTTTTCCAGTTGGTTGGCCAGGTTACTGTCTTATAAATTTCTTGGCATAAATTAATAAGCACCTCTAGTGCTGCATTTGTTTTTTGAAACATCTAAATGGGTATTCTATCAATTTCTGAAGCCTTGTTTTTTGTCCGTTCCTTTAGTTCATCTTGGATCTCTTCTTTCAATATCACTGATTCTGGATCATATGCCACTTCTTGAAATGGTTGAACATCAACCAATTCTTTATGGTACAATGACTCTGTGTATTCCTTCCATCTTCTTTTGATGATTTCCTGAATTATACAATGTTTTTCCCACAGAATCCTTCAATATAGCAATCGAGGCTTTACTTTTCTCTTCAGTTCTTTCAACTTGAGAAATACTGAGCATGCTCTTCCCTGTTGGTTTTCTAACTTCAGACCTTTGCACATTTCATTACATCCATCCTGGTATATTCATCCTTAATTAATTGCCTTACTCATTTTCATTAAGTGATTGACATGGATATATAATGTATGAAATCAAAGCACTAAATCAAATTTAAAATAATTCAATTCAGTTGCTATAGCCAAAACCTCCCTAAATGATCCAGGCCTCAGTTAAAGGCAAAGCTTTGCTACAGTGAGAAGCAACGTCTACCTTCTCTTCTATAATTCTGGCTAAATCACCTAACCATTGGCTCTCAGAAGGTAAATTGAGTTAATTTTAGCCTGTTTCCCAGTGAATGCATATTATTTCAGTTTCCATTGTACCTTGGTGTAGTGGTTAAAGTATCTGGCTGCTAACCAAAAAGTTGGTGGTTCAAATGCACCAGATGCTCCACTGAAGAAAAATGAGGCAATCTGTTTCTATATAGATTTACAGCCTTGGAAACCTAATGTGATCACTATGAGTCAGAATCAACTTGATGGCAATGAGTTTAGTTTTGAAGAAGAGAATGGGTTAGAGATCTTAAATTTGATGTGATTCTATTTTATTTAGTCCCTGACTGCACAATTTAGATAAGCACTCTTGGAAAGGTTTCCTGATGTAGTCAGGTGAAAATTATAATTGATCTAGGAGTTAATTATAACCATAGGGGGGAAAAAAATCACCGCCGCCGAGTTGATTCAACTCATAGCGATCCGTCCTTGGGTAGCTGAGGCAGTATCTCTACATAAGTAGATTGCCCAGTCTTCCTCCTGAGGAGTGGCTGGTAGGAGTTACCTATAATTAACCTAGACCAGTTGCTATGGAAGAGTTGATTCCACTTATAGCAACCCCATCTGTGTGAGAATAGGGCTGTGCTCCATAGGGTTTTCAAAAGCTAATTTTTTGGGGAGTAGATTACCAGACTTTTCTTTGTAGGCTCCTCTGGTTGGACTTGAATCACCATTTCCTTTTGGTTAACCACTGATGATGCAGAAAGTAAAAATAAAAATTTAAAATCATAATAAATTATATAAGCCAAACTCTGATCCAAGTTATCCCAAGAAAGGCATATACTACATCAGATAATAAGATCTGCAATGTTTAAGCTTAACTTAAGTTATAATTATGCTTTCTGTTTAATTAAGGGGCAAGAAATACTTCTTAAAACATAGTAATCCTGAAGAAATTGACAGCTAATTTTCACCATAAGTGCTACATACATAGATTGCTGTACCTGTCTTTGTTGTCTCTCCATTGAACTCACTCTTCTGTGACTACTTATCTGAAAAATCAGCCATTGGAAACTCTAAGGAACACAGTTCTACTCTGACACACAAGGGTGGCCATGAGTTACAGTCAATTTGGTGGCAATTTGTAGAGATAATTTAGGTTTAGAAAATAAACACAAAACAACCTAGAATATAGTGCCACCTAGACCATGGTATTTGACTATGGGAAAATCAATTAACCATTCTCAGCCTCAGTTTTTCAATGACAAAAGAGTACAGGCACAATTTAGATAAACTGCCTTAAAGTAGTCTCCTCTGTTATGAATGAGATCCTCTCCTAAAAGTATCTTTAAGTCAAGTATGTAGGTAAGTCGGAACAAGTGCCTACGGTTCTTATTTAGCCTTACTTTAGTGGAAGAGAGGAGCTCTGGTAGGGCAGTTGTTAAAGCATTTGACTGCAAACCAAAAGGTCAATGGTTGGAACCCACCAACTGCTTCATGGGAGAATGGTGAGGTACTCTGTTTCTGTAAAGACTTACTGCCTTGCAACCCCTATGGGGCAATTCTATCTGCTATAGGGTCACTATGAGTCAGAATCAACTTGATGGCAGTGGATTTTGGATTAGTGCAAGAAAAGTCTCAAAGAATTTTAAAGATTTAAAAGCTGCATGTGCAGCAAGTCAAAGTGATTGAGATAAAGAATGTGTGGCATTTCAAAGTGAAGAGAAATTTACAAACTTTAAAGGGCATGTATGAGATGGCAGTAAGTCAGATATTTGCGGGAACTATCTGTGTATCACTGAATTGGGAAAAAAGTGAAATAATCATATGCAAGTTCATTAAGTTATAAGAAATTATGTAAAATCTAGCAATAGCAGTTAATGTTGTATTCATGAAAAGCTGTGAGTAATGTATCCTTCTTGAGATTAACTAGAGACTATAGGGAGCTCTGATAGCATAGTGGCAAAGACACTTGCCTGCTAACCAGATGGCTGGCAGTTCAAACCCACCAGCCACTCCTCGGAAGGAAGGTTGGTCAATCCTACTTCTGTAGTGATACTGCCTTGGAAACCCAAGGAGGGGTCGCTATGAGTCAGGTTTGACTCGACGGCACATAACAACAACAACAACATAGGCATCTGATGTTTCTTTTCTATATTGGAGATGTAGTCACTAACATTTCTGTTTTCTAAATCTGGGTGTCAAATATCAAATATATTTAAAACTAAGTTTAAGCTAATTGTCTATCTCTAAATCTTGACAGAAAGATAACCTTTGTTCCTCAGACGATCCACCTCACATACTCTTGCTGCCTAGGTTCATCGTGGTCTGTGGAAACATCACTGTTGACAGTGTGAGTGCTTTTCTGAGCAATTTTCTCCGCTACAAGTCAGGAGAAATCAGCACTGAGATCGTTTTTCTAGGAGAGTAAGTGGCTCATGGGTTCTAAATTAATACTTGATATATGTATGAATAATTTCAATGAAAAAAAAATTACTCTTGTAATATTCATATATAAATTAAGAAAGAATAATAATCAAAAAGAAAAGCAATCTCATGACCAAGGTTAAGCTCTGCAAATTTTTTGTAGTATATCTTACCAGATGTTTTTCTCTGTATGTACTAATGTTATCTAAGTAATTCCTTATCACTTAGCATTTACATTACTCTACACTTATCATTGGAGTCCCCGGGTGGTGCAAATGATTAACATGCTTAGCTACTAACCAAAAGGTGGAGTTTGGGTCCACCTAGAGGCACATCAGAAGAAAGGCCTGGAAATCTACTTCCCCAAAATCAGGCATTGAAAACTCTACAGAGAGCAGAAACACTGACACACACAGGGAGTCTCCAAGAGTTGAAACTGACTCGATGGAAACTGCTGGTACATTTATTATTATTATTTGGATACATAATTTGTAAAACAGCAAACACCAAAGTGCTGAAACTAGTGATAAGAAGCTAATAATTATAATATAAATGTGACTAAAAAGAAATCATTACATGTATAGACAGTGACATTATATCTGTTGCCACATTTTCATGGACTGATGTTGTTCATGTGTACTTGCCAAGGTAACTTTCACATCCACTCTAATTTTTTTAAATGGTGCAAAATGTTGGAAGTATTCCATGTAGAATATTAGCAATTACATTTATACTCTGATGACTGCAAACTTTATATCTTCCACCTGACATTCTCTGTGGCTCCACATTCGCTCACCTGATAGCTTACTAGATATTTCTATACAATATTCCAAATGCCCCTTGTCTTAGTTATCAAGTGCTGCTATAACAGAAATACCATAGAGGGTGGCTTTAACAAACAGAAATTTATTTTCTCACAGTTTTGGAGGCTAGAATCTAAATTCAGGGGTCCAGTTCAAAGGGAAAGTTTTCTTTCTCTGTAGGCTCATGGTTTAGGAGTAAGGTCCTTGTCTTCAACTTCAGCATCATGGGCACAGTGATCCTTGAAGGTCCTCATCAGTCTTGGCATCAATTCTCCCCTGGGTCTATGAAGTTCACAGTGCAGGGAGCCCAGGTGCTCTGGTCACCACTCTTCTTTCTCTTTTTATCTCTTGTAAATTAAAAGGCATTACAGGTCACATCCCAGAATAACTTCCCTAACATCACATCAGGGTTGTGATGGGATTATTAAGTGTTGTTCACCACCTTAACCTTTTTATAACCAATTGGCTTATTGCATCAGATCAGATCATGGGAGATCCTTACATAATTGCTGAATTACATCATTACATAACTGCCAAACACTACGAATCATGGCTCAATATATTGACACGTATTTTTGGAGGACATAATTCAATCCATGAAACCCCTTATACTCAATATATTCAAAGGTGGTCTCATTGTCTTCTGTCCTTGATTCCATATTATAAGACATACAAATGAAAATAATGAAAGCAAACAACATTTTATATTGCAGTAAATGGTACATCTTTAGCCCAGTTCCTTAGAAAAGAAAACTAGGCAGTATATTTGGTCCTCTTCTCTTCCTCAAAACCCATGTACACAATCATCAATACCATCAATTTTGTCCCCTACATAAATCCTAATTCTATTTCTCTCATTTTGACAATCAAAACCCTGTTTTAAAAGTATATCTTTTCTCTCCTAAATATTTGTATGTAATGGCCACTTTATCCTTTAATCTTCCTGCCTAGAGGATCTTCTTCTATCTTTTCATATAACTAGTCTATTCCTATCCTTTAGCACTCAGAGAAACCTTTTCTAACCAACCTACCTAAGTTGTTGCATTCTAAATTCCTCCTATCTCTTTACTCCATGAAGTCTATATTTGGTTCAAAGTATTATGAGCATGATTACTAGACAGAATGTTAGAAATCTGAACTCACCCAGAAATGCCTTGGAAGATAAGCCTGGCAATCTGTTTCCAAAAGATCACTGCCTTGAAATTCCTATGGAACAATTCTACTCCGCAATACATGGAGTTGCCATGACTCAGAATTGAGTGGATGGCAATTAGTTTAGTTTAGTTAGTTAGTTAGTTTGTTTTTTACTCATTTCTCCGTGTATTCCTATAAATGGGAGAACTCTCTTGGATATCAACTGAAAGGACAATCCTGACTCAGTCACTGTCTTCATGGTGTTCTTTATCTTTTGACTTCAATAATTCATCAGGACAGTCACAGAGAACTCATGAAAACAACATAAGTGCAATAGCAGTTTCAATAATGGAGGAGGATGTAAACAGAAATGAAGATATGCAAAGGACAGGGTTCAGGAGTGGACCCATCATGGGAGACCGAAAAGGAGACCTGCTTACATTTCAGAGGGGCCTACTTACCCTTTCTGAAAACCGAAGCTTATTCTCACCTATCAGTAAACTTTCAAACAGAAAACTCAGTGATGTCGCTTGGTGGGTTGACTATTGGTCACTCCTCTCAGCTCTCAGCCATTTAATTCTTTATACTCTGCTGCCACAGAGATTTGATCTTCATATTCTGCTTCCATCATTTGGGTCTGCTCCTTGTTTCTGCTTCTTCTGGTACCCTCACAACTGCTGCCTCTATCACCTTCACAGGTTTACTCCTTCTGGGAGGGCCGTAGCACAGTGCCTCCACTTCTATCCTGGCTCTTTATCTCTTTGTTGATATAAAGCACCATCTGAGCCTCGGGAATAGGGTTTTTATCAGTCAGGAGGAGGGAGGTGCAGTCAGTCATGTAAAGGTAAAAGTTGGGTGCTCCCAACCTATCCCAGTAAAGGTCTGACTGCACAGTGCCCATCCACCAAACCTGATAAAAGTCAGCTGCTGGGGGGAGACTCCCCAAGGCAATCCCGTTAGTGTCACATTGTGGGGGACCCAACAGCCAATCCCAGTAAAGACACAGTGTTCTTCTTTCTTTGGAATCAGCTATTTTTAAGAGAACAACAAAATTTAATCACTTGCACTATATATTTTCACAGCATCTTCTTGATTAGTTTTAAAAATCTTTTTGAGTAATTGTTTTAATTATACTTCATTCTTAATAATTCTCCTTTTTTTTAGCATTAACCTAATATATTTTTTTTTTCTTTTTACTTTGTCAACTTTTTTTGGCCTTATACTTTACATATACTCTTAAAAGGGTATTTATCTGGTTATTTAAAGAAATTAAATGTTTTTGTAAGATATTGTAAGATACAATGCCTGTCTTTAGTGATCTTGTTTCATTTATATTTATATTTATAGTAACTTATATTTACAATGCCTAAGGCATTTGACTGTTAACCAGAAGACTGGCAGTTCAAAGCCACCAGGCCTCCTCAGAAGGAAGGTTGGGCAATCTACTTCCATAGTGATGCCGCCTTGGGAACCCAAGGAGGGGTCCCTGTGAGTCAGATCCAACTCAACGGCAGTGCATAGTTCTGTTTATGCCATCTGAGCTCATTAATTCACTTTTACCTATTTTTGCTGCATTCCTTTGAATACTTTCTTACTTTAAAATTACTTCAGCGTGCTCTTAGTCAGTTTCCCAAATCACATCCTACATCATACTGACATTGTCTATACTTTCAATTCAAGTCTACTATTTGTTGTTGTTGTTGTTTGCCGTCGAGTCGGCCCTGACTCATAGCGACCCCTCCTTGGGTTTCCGAGGCAGTATCACTACGGAAGTAGGATTGCCCAACCTTCCTTCCGAGGAGTGGCTGGTGGGTTTGAACCGCCAGCCTTCTGGTTAGCAGTCAAGTGCCTTAGGCACTATGCTACCAGAGCTCCTTCAAGTCTACTATAGATACCATTTTCCTCTTTTTAGGAATTAAATATTTTTAAGATAACGACAAAACTTAATCATTTTAACCATATGTTTTTGCAGCATCTCCTTGATTTGCTCATTTTCTTATTTGAGTATTTTATTAAAAATAATTGGCATTGTGTGTCTTGTTTGGACTTGTATGCCTAAGAATGTTTTATATATAAAATATAAGTTGGTGTTTATAAAAATCCTGGGTTCAAAGTTCTTTTCATATGATGTTTATTGTTGTTGTCCCATTGAGTTGATTCTGACTCATAGTGACTCTACAGGACAGAGTAGAACTGTACTATAAGGTTTCTTTGGCTGAAATCTTTATAGAAACACATCGCCAGGTCTTTTGTATTCTGGAGTGACTGATGGACTCAAACCACTGGATTTTTGGCTAACAGCTGAGCACTTACTTCTTGTGACACCAGGACTGTGAAAATAGCATTCCATTGTCTTTGACCTTCAGAACTGGTGTTGAAAAATCTGATGTCAAACCTATTTTTGTTGTTTTTTTTTTTTTAATATATTGTGCTCTTTCTCTCTCAAAACTGTTGTAGTTTTCTTTCTGTCTTTGAATTTGTTCAAATTCACTATAAGTCTGAGTGAAGGTTTTTCCTTATCATTCATTTTTGATACTCAGACTCCTTCCAATGTGATATTTATATCTCTTATTTTTTAAATATATTTTCCTTTTCTTTGTAGTTTTTTTTCTTCTTTTTAGGATATTTCTTCAATATACTCTTCCTTTTCACTAGTTCATTTCCCAGCTAAATGCATATTTTCCTCATTTTTTATTCTTTATAATTTGTATAATATTTCTGCTTCATTCTTTTATATATATATTTGTACTATTGTTCCATATTGCTAATATCTGTCCTTTCTTTTTTAAAGTTTTTTTTTCTAATGTGTATTTTAAAATCTTCATTTTTTTTCATGCTAATACTTGATTTCTGAATAACTCTATTACGTACTGTGTTGCTTTTCTTTTGAAATACGTGTGCTTCTCAATTATCTCATTATTTTGGAGTGTGATTTCATTTTCCTTAAGTTTATTCTCTCAGTCAAAAAGTATTGTGGTAAGTCACAACCAAGTCCTTACAAGCCCTCACAAGTTCAAGCAGTAAGAGTAGTGAGAGGCTGAATCATTCCTAAAATAGGCAACT